GGATTGAACTCTGGTCCTTGCTGGTCCTTGCGATTTTGAGGCAGGCAGGGGAACCACTGAGCTAAGTCCCTGGCCTTCTGCTGAAACTCTGCAGCCTCTATACTGAAATTCTGTGATCTTAATAATTAACATATAATTTTTCCCACTTGCCGTGTCAACTGAGCCATTTATGTGGCGCCTATATTTAAGGTTTTCTATGGCACTAGGCGTATTAAATTGGTTTCAATGTCTTAGAATATTTTTTTTCCAGTGTGTTTGCAAAGATTCTTTTCTTTCATTAAAGCATTCATTTCCCACCTACCTCTTTCTTGAAAATTATTTTTGGTAGCTGTCATTTATGTGAGGGTGTTCCCTAACTTCTCACAGATGGGTAGGCAGGCATCCTTGGCATCCACAGATACCTTTCACTCTTCTTGTAGCAGTTATCACATGGATAAGTACTTGCCTCTGCCTTCCCTGCAAAGGTAGTCTGCAGGGAGGGAGGACTGTTTGCCTTGCTATGTTTAGAACTCTAGTGTCTAATCCTGTTATTGGTGGTTTATAGATTGGAAGGGAATTTTTGAAAGATTGCAGTAAAGGTATGGTTTCAGAGGCCATTCCACTTAACAATGAGCCTCTGGCCTAAGGAATTAGATCAGCTGCTACTAATCTACAGCCAGTTTGGCTAGTGAGAATATGATCCCGGTGTTGACAGAACATCTAATTTCTACCAGAAGAATTGCAGAGTTAAAAAAAATACAGTTGTCTCTTAGTTTTTAAATGCTGTCAATGGAATATTTTTGGGTTTTTTGTTGTTGTTGTTTGTTTGTTTTTGATATGGGGATCGAACTCCAGACCTTGCACTTACAAGGCAGGTTTAGAGCCACTGAGTTAAATCCCTTGGTCTAATGGAGTATTTTTGCAATGAGTGAGGTACAGTCACATATGTAATCTGCCTTAAATGTTGTAGGGTTCAGATAATGGGTTTTGTGGACAATGATAGATTTTTAACTGGGCCTTGTTGTAAGGTTCAAAGTTGAGTAAAAGAATGAAAACAGGTGTTTTAATTTTGAGTGTGTAAATTAACATCCGTCTCTCAACCTTAAGTACGCTTCCCTACCCCTTCCTCCTCTTCCTCCCTTTCTCATAACCACTATGCTATTCTCAATTGAAGGTGTTTTTTTGTTTGTTTGTATTTTGGTACTGGGGCTGGAACTCGGGTCCTTGTGCTTGCCAGGCAGCAGAAACACTGAGCTAAATCCCTGTCTTTTTGTTTGTTTTTTGAAACCAGTTTCTTTCTATGTATTTCAGGATGGCTTGAACTTAGAGTGATCTTGCTCTTGGTGATCATTCTGCCCCTGCCTTTAGAGAGCTGGGATTAAAGGCATGGGTGACCATGCTGAGTCAACTACAAGTCTTCTTAAAGCATTAACAAGTAAAGTGACTTGTAAAACTAGTGAGAATGCAGTACTTAAATGCTAAATACTATGGCACATCGTGGATGCAATCAGTGATATTTTTGCCTCCAGCCTGTTTATCCTCTATTCCATTTTGTATGCTGCCAGCCTCATCTCAAATCAGGCAGGCATGAGTCTGACCACAGGTTTCATTTCATCGTGAATTTAAGTTTTTCAAAAGTTGCATTCTGTTACGTGCAATGTGAGATATAGCATCTCTGCCATTAGGATTGTGTGAGGAAAGGGTTTATCATGTTTTGCAAGTTTATTGCACAAATTCTTGTTTGTTGTGGAGGAGATGAATGCTCGAACACACACGCTGTCTTCCTTTTTTTTTTTTTCTTTTTTGGGAGTACCAGGGATCCAGTTTGGGACCTTGAGCTTGTGAGGCAGGCTGTGGAACCACTGAGCTAAAATGTCCCTAGCCCCAGCTTCCGTTCTTTTTCAGTGTGTCTCCATTTTGGTCAGTTAGGTGTTTCTTTGGCACTTTTTTTTTTTGTCTTCCCTGATGCCTTTCCTTTTCTTGGATTCTAGTATTCACCCTTGGTGCCCCCCCCCATTTTGGTACTAGGGATTGAACTCAGGACACTGTGCTTGTGAGACAGGTGGGCAGCACCACTGAGCTAAATCCCTGGCCCACCCGTGAACTTTTAAGCAATCTTAAAATTCTATTTAAATGTTTAGCTTTCTTAATGATTTTTCTTAACTATTCATACCTGCATTTATCTCTTCTAAAGTTTGAAACAGTGCTGCATTCTGCTAGGTACTTTATTTTGTCCATCAGTGGTAAATATTCTGAAGACCATAACAAATTCTACTTTCAAATTTATTTTTGATTCAGTCATCTGGAATTTTAAATATTTTCCGATGGAAATAGTATAATGCACTTCTTAATGTTGAAATAGGTGGCAGGAATGGGATCTATAGATACATATGCTTTGTAGAATGGATAGAAATACCTGGTCTTAGTGAATATTTAGATAAGAACAATTTTAGGTTTTATATGAATCAGGTTTCTGATTTGGGCCTTATGGCAGCTGATTTGTCATTGACCAAAACAGGTGCCTTCATTAATCTCTAATTGCTGAGATAAAGTAACTGATACTCACAAGTTGAAAGTTGGAAAGGTTTGTTTTGGCTCCTGAGGTTATAGAGATTTCAGTCCATAGTTAGCTGGCCCCAAGGGAGGGTAGTGTGGCAGAGGGGCAACACAGGATAAACTGTGTGGAAGAGCAGGCAGGAGAGCACAAGCAGTAAGCTGCTTTCTTTTTGTCCCTTTGTGTTCCATCCAGGCTACAAGCCTATTGATTGGTGCCACCCATACTAGTGTGAGGATCCGGTTATCCACATCAGAGTTATGCTAAACCAAGTTGGTTATCCCACAACCTTAATCCCAGTGCCACACACCCTAACATAGCCTCATGACCACCTGATCCATCCACCTCTCAAAAGCCCCACGTGTAAATGCGGGAGTTTTTGGAGAGACATCTAGATACAAGCCTTCACAACAGGGAAGCCAGGAGATAAAGGGGATTTCTGAGCAGTATGAGAAATTGTTTTGGCATTTTGAATTGCAGGTATGTATAAGACATTCTCTTGAAAGGTGTTAGGATGGAAATAGAGATGTGGAGTGGTTTTGTTTACAATAACCATTTCCTTAGCATTTATAATATCCTCTGAGTACTGAGCACATATTTTGTGCAGATTGTTCTAGAGGCACGATCACCTAACAACATAGAAATCCCCACTTTCATTAAGCTCGTATTTTCTAGTATTAAGAGATCAATAATATGTATTACAAATAAATTATATATTTAATGATTAGCACTGTGAAAAAATAGCAGAGTTGGGAGATTTTGTGTAGTGACATTAAGAAGATATTTAAAAGTTCATATTTAAAGGTGCTGAAGTTAACCATGCAAAGATATGGAGAAAAACATTCTAAGAAGGGAATTTCAGGTTCAAGTGGACAAATACAGGTGCAAATTCATGTATGTAGGAGGTTAAATCTGAGTTTTCTATTCACTGTTGTTGGCTATCAATGTATTTGTTGGATGACAGTAAGTAAAAGGAATGGGTTTAGGGAGGAGGGAAAACTATGGTGATATTTAATAATGGAAGATAAGATAATGCAGATTTAGTTTATAACCTAAGCTGTTGTTGTACTTAGTTTGTATAACCTGATATAGTAGTTGTATCAGCTTGCCTTGGGATTTACAAAGTTTGAGTGGCTTAAGACAGGATCTTTGCTGTGGCTTTTGTTTTCTCAATTTTCTGGCCAGTTTCACTTAAAATGCCAGTCCTGTCTTCCTCTCAGCCCTCAGTTGAAGTTATCTTAATAACGGTTGGGGTTTGTTCAGTGGAATGCTGTAAGAAAAGCTTATTTTCAAATAAGAACCAAGATAGATTATGAAAAGGTACAAATTTCCAATGATGAATGTCATTATATTGTATG